AAAAAAAAAACAAAAAATCTTCATCAAACAATTGTATTTTGCAACATACAATGTTTGAAATTCGTTTACATCCTGTTCAGGTGTAAATACATTATATAATTGTATAACCTAAAGTATGAAAAAATACAGACAAATTTTGACGAACCTAAAACAATCATTTCTACAAACTTGTGCATCAGGATGGTTGAGATACATAAGTAATTTAAGCTCTCGATAAGTTCGTTTTGCATGTATATGAGTTTGAAATGGACGAAGAAGTTTTTTAATAGCTACATATTTACCTGTTGCCTAGAATACAATTATATATATACATATATATACATATCTTTTTAATCATGTTCATAATAATACATACAGTATCAGTTGCACGACTAAATAACAAATTCAATAATTATGAAAAGCAAATGAAATGATTATTTCTACTTACACTACAATACCATAAGTTCCCTGTCCAATAAGACCCAAATTTTGATATCTTACAGGTAATGTAAATGTGCATTGACCACAAGAAACTGTATACCATTCACCTTGTTCATTATTATTAAAAGCCATATTTGTTTTTACTAAATGAAAGAAATAAGAATCTGTTAAGTATTCTATGATGTTGAAAATATAGAAAGAAAAGTTTGTTTTATATTTTAAGAACATGAGAAAGGAAAAAAAGGAACAGAATGAATCAAACAACCAATAATGACACCTATTTATAAAACAAGAAAAAAATCAGCAAAAAAAAGGAAATTTTCCTATGCAAATGGAAATTTCCATGTATATTTACCATACAATATGAAATTTTTAAAAAAATAGGAGTTGATAGATGCCGCTTTCACAGTTACAAATCAGACGAAAATTACTCAATATTTGTTCTTGATTGTGTTGACAATGTTGATTTCAATGGAGGCAATGTTGATTTTTTTTTTGGTAAAGATTATAAAATAACAATTTTTTTATAGATTTAACAAAGCTAGGTTTTTTTTTGTTTTGTCTACTTCAAAAAAACGATTCGATGTTGCTCATCGTGTAGAAAATGGTGCACTTATGAACATTGAAATAATATTATTTCTCTTGTTTATTCAATATTTTTCGTACTAAAATGTCGATAAAAAAGTAATCAAATCAGATAGAAAATAAATAAAAGGTCGAAAACGCATAGTAGACGAGGTCAATCGTTTTCTTTATGCTCTTTCTTACTAGCTTTCCTATCATACAGACACGATCGATCGAGAGTAGAACAGTAAGAAAAATGTACGAGAAAGAAAATAACGATGGTCTCAATCATAAATATATGACTGTTTTTTTTTCTATCACCAAACGTTACATATAAATCAGTTGAACAGTAGTTGTGGTTTTAAAAGAAAAGATTTCGTTGAATTTTTATTGATGAAAGAAAAAAATTTATTTAATATTGCGATGTTCTTTGGAAAATATGATAGCAATAATGATAATGCGACATCAAAGATGACATTGAAGAACTTCGTGGCAGAGTATTTTGTGGCGTTACCAGACATATTTTCAGATTTTCGAAAAAGGAAATTACTAAAATTTTTGAAATTTCCATTAGCTTGATAATCATACAGCAGTGTAAATCAAAAGTTTTTAGAAATATTGGAAATTTTAGAAATTTCACTAATTACATAATTTTGGAAAATACCAAGCAATTTAGAACACAAATGCTTGAAATTTCTGAAATTTTAGTTTTGGAGATTCTGAACACTGCTGCCCTATTAGAAAAAATTTTTAGAGTGGGAGACTCAGTCATCTGGTCATGTCTTCAGAGGAAGCGGAAACACTCGAAACATCCGCGTGATTATGCCATCAATAGTATTGTTATGAAATCTATTTTAATACAAATGCAAAAATGAATACTTATTCTAGTTAGATGGAACAATGAATTATAAGTTATCTAATTAGAATAAAATTACAAGCAAAATTTCTTTTATAGAAACGTATAAAATATAAATATGAAAGTTTGAGTAGTTGATAGAATGGAAATGAATAATGATGCCGATTTATGAGAACAAATGTAATTTCATAATTGTTAATTTGTATGAAAACAATATTCGAAGCAAATGTTCGATGAAGATAAGCAGATATTTGACCTTGTTCTTTCAAAGTAATAGTTTTGTTTTATTATGGCAATCATCATAGGTACCTTCATAACTCATCAATTGATTCTTTCATTCATGTTTGATTATATATTTTTATTTATTGATGTGTCCCACACAATAAAACTATGTCTATAAAAAGCAAATATAGCATAAAATATTCAACAAGGAATAATTTATTATGCAATATTTGACTGATAAGGATATAGATGGAATAAAAATATTGTTGGAAGAAAAATTAAATAATTTTTTTTTTTGTATGAGATATCCAGACGATAAAGTTTTGATAACAATAAAAAAAATTTAGAAAACTAAAATATTGAGAAATTTTCAATTTCATCATTCGTTATAATAAACATATATTATCGAAGAGTTTACAATGCATTGAAATTTACCAATAACAAAATGACATTGAAGGAGTCTTACTTTTCCGAGCGATGATGAAAATTCCAAGTAATTTATTTCATGCAAAATGATCTTAGTTTTATCTTCTTATCAACTCATAATAAATATTAGAACAAACAAAAACATGTTTACTGGTCAATCAACACATTATTTCCATAGAATCATTGAGTGAGAAAAGTTATCTCAAAATTATCCTCTACATACGTCCCATTAAAAAAAACCTTTAACATAAATCAAGCGGTTTTGTTAAATACACACTTCATATTAGAATATAAATGGGCTCTATAAATATGGTTTTTTTTACATATATATGTAAATATCTTGACATCAGTTTCTTTGACAATGAATATTCTATTTAAATATTTACATAAAAAGAACTAATATTTGAAAAATTTAATGGTGATATCAAACTATTTTAACTTTGAAATAGACTATTAAGAAAATGATGATAATGAAATATTCATCTAATATTTCCTAAAAAACAATATCAACGTGTATTTGTGATAGAAAATTTTTTACAATTAAACAAAGTCTATTTGAATACAAACAATTTCAATACATTTCTCTATTCTATATAAAACATAATTATGATGTTTGCCTTTTCTTTTATATTGAAATGATAAATAAAATCAGCATGTTAACATTATTACAAAAGCATAATGTCGACACTTTCTTTAGTTCTTCTTACTATGAAACAGAAAAAAAAAACTTATTAGTATGTTTGTAATCTTGGTCTTCGCTCGGTAGAAATAAATGAGACAATGAGTTCTTAAAATAGATTGACTTAAGTCCTATGTGTTATTTGATGCATAAAGAAGAAAAATCTTTTCTAATCATATTCTTTTTTTGCGTTATTATTCTTCTTTTTTTTCCATTGTTATTATCCTGTTTCTATGGCATATGATATGCAAAAAGTGAGTATGCTTTGAAAGTAATTACAGAAGACATATGTGCTTTTTCTCTCTGGCGCTCATTTTCTTGCATACTAAATAAATGAATGAAGCAAGAAGACATAGAAAATAAAAAAAAAAAGAAAATTATTGTTCTTTTATCAACGTATTTTACACATTATGTATGACAAATTGTCTTCTATCTCAAAATCGACCCGATATCAGTCATTTGCACAATCAACAACAGCAGCAATATTGAATGGAAGTTCGAATATTGTGATCATTGATAGACAGTCACGAATTCAACGATGGATACTTGGAATGATTATTGGTTCAGCACCATTTTTAGTTATTCTTATGTGTTGGATGTTTGTATCAGTATGTATTAATAATTTAGTTAGATATTATCAAAATCGAAAAAAACAACATCAAAATGATATACGAACAAATGGAAATAGAAATATTGAATCATCTAAGATTAATGTTTAATATTGTATTCTCAATTATTCATTGTGTATAATTAGAAAAAATAAATAGTTACTGTTGACAAATACTTTTTGTTTTTTGAATAAACAATGAACAAAAATAATACAAAATGCTTTTAACCAAAAGTAATATTAATATTCTAACTTCCTGTAAAGTAATTATTGTTTCATTTCTTATATTACATTTTCATAAAAAAAATCAAGTGTATTTCATAGAGACATTTTATAGACATAGTGTTAATTGATATCATGAAATATACTCGAACAGAAATCATTTTATTTATTCAGCCATGTAAAACTGCTCACACACACATATATAAATAGTACTACAAATGAATACATAGAATCATTGTAACAATGGTCATATTTCGTTGATTTCACAACAACCATTTAGAGTTTAAAGGGTTTGTTAGCTATTTTTAATTCAGGATATACTATATGAGCACAGAAAATTATTTTGTTTTTAACTCAAAAATTTATACGAGTAAGTTACTTTTTGTGTTTTATTTGATTCTAATAATAATTTCTTATTAAATACACATCAATACTCAAAGAAATTATCATTTTTTTTTTGTAACCATTTAAATCGATTTCGAAAATTGATAATGTTTAAAGACTTTTTATCTCGAATATCATGTTAGAAAATTAATCATTTTCATAGAAACAAACAAAGCAAGAGTCGTACAATGACTTAATTTTATCGAAAATTTGAAATATAGATCAAAGACTATTAGAGGATAGTGTTAATCAGTCGAACTAAGTTAATTTTCAGACAAAAAAAAGAATAATCTTATTTCTATTTCATCAAAGGAACATCATATTCATTATGAGAATTTGCTTTTGTTAATCATAGCGATTGATGCTCTAGACAAAGAGATACTCTTAGGACAACATTAACAATAGAATAGACACATTATTTGACGGTTTATTCATTCGATCTTATTGTGTTTTATAGATAAAGAACAAACTTTTTCTTTTATTAATGAAAAGCCTTACACAGAAAAATTAAATTTAATATTCATAGCTTTTCGTCACACAATCGATCTTCTACACACATAAGGAAAAAAGAATATCTGCATTACATATAACAATGAGAAGATATTCTTCAGATTGTCAATTTCTTTCAAAGAGAAAAACAATTTATAAGTCCTATATAGATAAAAAGTTGTTAGCGGAATCCCTCAGGGATTAAAGTATGGAACAAAATGTAGCTGCTGTTGCTGATTAGATAAGATTGTTTTATTGTATCTGTGTTGGAACATATTTTTTCATTATCCAAAAATACAATAAGGAAGTAGTTTATATATTAGAACAAGACGTTATTGATTTACGGTCTTTGATCGTATAAGACAATGTCTGTCGCAGAGAGGTTGAACGTTGCTAAAGCATTTGCGAAGGCTTATAACGATCTCTTACTAGCGTCTATCACTGTCTGTGTCGAAGGGGATTCAATTTCCTACTTCTATACTTTAATATTTCTTTTACATCATGTTTCACGAAACAGTACCATTAGTCAATTCTTAACATATATGAATATCTTCTTTCCTATAATCTGTATCATGTTTCTTATCTAGCAGATATACGGATTCATTGCTATCATGAAATGTCTTTGCATTTATTTTACTATTTTCAATATTTATTGCTTAATATATTGATATTCTTCTATTATT